AAAAAAAAACAATAAAATTTGCTTCTTTTATTATCAGTTATTATATAAATTACATTTCGAAAAAATAAGGAACTGGTTCTCTAGATTTCTACAACACTAGAAATTCTCATATGGGCTCTCGTAAAGACTGTTCATATATGAACAAATCAACATTTAATCATGACATCATCAAATAGAATATATCAACGAAAAGGGGCAATATACGACCTATGTAACTCTTCTCAAACAAAATTCTTCTGGCGAGTAGTAATACAAATGAAATGAAAACGGTGCTAAATAACATACTGGATGGGTAATTGCGATATTGCGGAAGAAAACTCGGTGTGCACCAATATATATTAGTCCGCGTTGACCGACACATACTAATGAACATCAAAATGGAACGGAAATGAGGCAAACCAAGACGAAAGTGATGTCTACGTGTACGAAGGGGCTGCGTTTGGCATCGGTAGACCTTCCAATGCCTGAAGTTCGCCGTCCGAAATGGACAGCGATATCTGAATGTCGCTTCCCTGACTAACTAGGGTCTATACATTGACAAAGAGCATATCAGCCCGCTGGTTCTCTAGTTCTAAATGATCTAGAACTGGCATTGCCAAGGAAAGGAATACAAGGAAGACTCGCTGAGAAACTCCAAAAATAAATATACTTATAAAATCAATACAACAAAATGTAAGGTGATAACTGGAAGACATAAGTTGATTTCCCCGGGTTGGAACGCATGTAAGGAGGAATTACGGTAGTTCAATCAGCAACCGTCAGCCGCTTTGGGACTGTCGTTTGCCGATGAGGAGACAAGAGAAGCACAGCACAACTGATGTAAACTACTTAAAAACACAAATGGATAGGTGAGCTGGGTGTCGAAGATGAGGGGCGTAGCCTAAGTGACCTACTACTTGTGCTTGGAGGCCGGCGTCGAGCAGGTCGTCGACGGGGTTGGCGTTGAGAATAGATCTGGCCTTCGTTGGTGTTCCACGACTCCTGGACCACCAAGAGGCGGTTGCCACACCTCGTATCCAAGCTTTACTAACTCTCCGGTGATCATATCTAGTAGTGTTTGCGGAGTATCTAGAACAAAAGACTACTAATCTTTGACAATGAAACGAATATATAGGCGATGAGATTTCCAAACGACTAATTTTTCATGAGAAACGATGGCGCATTTGTAAAAAATTCTTATGCTGCTTCCAGACAACTTTAGTGAAAAACAACATATTTTAGACATCTATCTGCTCGTTAATAAGGAATGACAGTTGCATACTGGATAAAAATAAGTTCATTAACAAAACAAAACGATTACACGGTGTCCGTAATGAAAGATCCTTTTAAAGCAAGTTGTGTGAAGACAAACCTGGCTTCAAGAAGGCAAATACTGATCCACCACCTCCAGCACCGGTCATTTTTGGATGTATGCC